CTACAACATAAAATTAGTTGAATGCAATTTTAAAACTAGAGGTGTTGTAAAAGAATTCTGCTTATGGTTACCACGTAGAGTCTAGAGAATTAACAGAGACTGCAGACATCATGAATGCTGCATTATAAACCTGCAGACAACAGGTTTATAATGCAGCTTATGGCATTATTATAATTATCAATTTCCAATAGTTTCTCAAATATGAACTTAGTGTTTTCCTTCCTTGTACTGTGAACTGCCAGATTCAACTGTGAGGTCAAACAAGTAGTATTGTTTATTAGCTCTTATTTATTGATGCTATTTGCCAATGTTCTTGATGTTATTTAATAGCATGTGGCAGGAAGTGGGAGAAGCATGAGATTCAGGAGAGATGGACCCCAGTTCCAATCTTAACAGTGTGTGCTCTCTCAAGCTCTGAACGAATCTTGAACTGCAGAAGTATAGCACTTCCTTCAAGACTAAAGGTTCTGAATCCTGTACATACAGTACTTGGTACATGAACCCTGTGATCCAATCACTTACTTCTCAGGGACATTCTAGTGTAGGTGTGTAAACAGGACATACGAAGATATTCCCAACAGCACTGCCAGGGATGGTGTGGTGCAGGAGGCCATTCAAGTAAATAGGCTGACATCTGATGAGAGTACAAGAATTCACCAGACAGGAGTGATGCATCTTAAGCATATAGTCCTAAATGAAGAAAAATGACTTAACAAAAGCTCATTTAGGAAAGTCAAAATGTATATGACACAACAAAAATCAATATTTTTCCAGAACACATAAAAGGGGTATTCTCTAAAGAAATGAAAAGTGTGGTCTGAGAGTGAAGGGGAAAAAGAATGAGGTAGGCTTAAAGTGGTGAGTGAAGAAGAGAGTGGCCTGCAGTTCAAGGATGACTCACTGCAGGAGGCTAGGGGTGTGATTCTTTGAGCTTTTCTACTCATGATTATAAAGAAAGAAATAGAATTTTTTAAAGTGCAGAACACGGTAGGTGAACTATACCATGTATTCTAAAGTCTCTTTTTAAAGGAACCTCAGTAATTGTAGGTTTCAATGACAACTTTATAATAAAAATATAACATAAACTGAAAAATCTGAAATCACATCTTAGGACTGCCTTCAATCATCTACTCCACCCTCTGCAATGTAGACTATAGTGTGAAGAAAGGCCAGCTTGGATATACCTCATTACTGGGTGGACTTTTATTATTAAGATTACCAAATAAATGTTTTTCAAAGACAGTAATTATTACTGATGTTACAGAGTGCTGTATTAAAGTTAAGTTGAAGGACAGCATCCTGGCGAAGACACAAGTTTGCATGTCAGTGGAATGAGATCAACAAAGCCCCTGTGATATTTTTGTTGAAAAAAAAATCAAAAGCTAAGACTTGTCTAGCTCAGGCTTGACTCTAATGTGTTGTGCTGGCCTAAGAGCTAACATGCATAGCGTCTAGTGCTTATAAATAAGTTTAGATCCACCTGTTTTAATTGCAGGAAGGTGCGATCATCACTGGCACCGTGTAAATGCCACAGCTCATTGTTTTGAAAGTCCACAAGTGACACATTTCTTTTTGCTTCTTTGTTGACTGATGATGGTTGAGCCACATGCTCTCCTCCCTCTCTCAGGTCTGAGGACCATGTGCTCTCAGCTCTTTATGACAGTCAAAACACAAAGCATTAAGTTTTGAAGGGGAGTATGACATACATTCCTAAATCAGTGACACATAGGTCACACCCCAGGGAATACAACTGCGGTGAGCTCAGGAATGGGCATGGCTGAAGACCTACAGCAGCAGCTCTACAGTACATGCACAGAAGTGGGGAAGAATACTGCGTGTTTGCCATATTGTCCTGGGGAGCATGTGCTTAGATCAGGATTCTAAAAACGTGTGAGACTATACTTCGGAGATTAGAGGTGAAAGAATGAGACAGTTTCAGATCTGTGAGAGTCTAAAATTTGTAGGTGCATTAGAAAAGTGTGAGTGTTAATAAGTGTTCTTGTTGGTGTTAGTAACAAGGGGGCATAAGGAGATTCCTAAAATGCTGATGCTTTTGGCTGCAAGTTACTGAACACTCAACAAAACTTTTCATTTAAATAACAAAAAACAGCTTTCCTATGACATGGCAAGAAATCCCAAAGCAGGGTAGATCCAAGGCTGTATATCCACCCACTCAATGGTGAGTCATTAAGGACTCAGATTTCCCCATCTTTCTCCTCTGGTATGCTGTGTTTTCTTTCTGACTACTTACCTCACGACCGTGAAAAGCTACTTCATTGGTAGCCACTCATATACAGCATAGCTCTGAAATGGAGTAGATTCTCCTAGGGGTGTCTTCTTAAGCTTTTTCCAGAGAAAAGTTTTCCTTAGCAAAGATTTCAGAAGATTTTGAGTCCTAAGCCACTCACTGGCATGGAATGCAGAATTGTCTTAATTGGTTTGGGTAATTAGGAGCTGCTTCTGGAGACCAGGAAGCAGATCGCCTCCTCATAAGCACACATGGAATCTGCACTGCAGCCAACCCTCTTGCTGACTGGTGGCTAATCAACATTTACAAACATGATGTCTGTGAAGCGGAAGGAAGGGAGACCCTTCACAAGATTTCAGAAGAAATCGGAAAAGGGCGCATAGGGAGGCCATGGAGATGATGAACACTAACTAGATGCCCTGGCAACTCAGTTCCACAATGAGCCCTCTGGGGCTTTCTGACTCCTCAGTGGGGCATGTATAACCCACAGACACAGTCTTACTTGTCTCTGTCTCCACTTTCCATGGCTTTTGTCTTCCTGTTTCATTTTCTTGATACATTAATTCACTTTAGACATGTTAGTCTGTTTTTACTCTGTTGCTTTTCTCAGGAATGTTCTTCCTATGTGCACCTTCCTGAAAGACTTCCTTTTATTCTTCAGGAAACAGGAGGGGGGATGTGCCTCTTTGGGTGGATCTGTGTCCTCTTCTGTAATTCCACTGAATTCCGTGCATACCTGCATAATGTTGTACTTACCAGATTAAAATCCCTCTCTTCATTTCTTTCACAGATGTTTTTTAAAGGTTTCCTATATGTCCATCAGTGACAACAAAAGAGAATCCATGATCTAATGGAGCCAGTATGCTAGGGAGTAGATAAGATAAAAAAAAAATGAATATGTAGTGAGTCAGGTGGTATGTTCTAGAAAGAAAAATAAATTGGAGAGATGTGATGTGGGTATGTTGGTTGAGTTTTCAAAGGGGATCATCAGGGAAAGGCTTATTAATGAGGTGCCTTCCTGAAGAGAGAGGGAAGTCAACTGCCATCTGACTACTGGTGGGAAGAACACCCCAGAAGAGGGATAATGGTGTAGAAGGCCTGAGCTGAACATACTTGGCATGTTAGATGGATGGCAATGCTAAAGCAGTGAGGGTCAGTGCAGAGGGGCAGTGATAGGTCTGAGGAGGCCAGAGCCTGGCCAGACAGCCTTGCTGGCTTTGGCTTTTTGTGAGAACGGGAAGGTACTGAGGATGCTGAGTACAGAGCAACATGAGCATCTGAACTTTAAGTGACTCACTTACTTCTCAAGAAAACAGCACAGAGGACAAAAACAATGAAGGAGGCAGCCAGGTGTAGAAAGTGTTTAAGTATTGCAAGGGAGGGGGGATAGATGCTTTGACCAGAGTGGTAAAACTGGTGACTTTGAGCATTTTTGAAAGCAGAGGAATGGAGATATTTTCATAGGTTGAAGGTAAATCAGAGTGAGAAAGTATTAAAGGAGAACCTAAGGTTGTTAGCCAGAAAAATAGAAAGGTAGAATTGGGGGTTACAGAAATGAAGAAAGCTGTGAGGGAGAAGGCACCGCAGAGTGAAAGCCAAGGGATTGCTTTCAATCCTGACAGGTGTGAAGGACCTGTGGGGCATCTAGGTGGAGATGTTGAGTGTGTAGTCAGACATATGGGTAGAACTGAGGGGCAGCCTAGATCAGAGAGTCAGCCTTGATTTTGCTGTAACCACAAACGAAGAGTTTCATTTGGCTCGTAGTTTCAGAAAGCTCAGTCTTACATGGTGAAGGAACGGTAGAATAGGTCCAATTATAGAGGGAAGAAAGGAGGGAGAGAAAGGAGAGGGTCAGAGAGATGGAGAGGGAGAGGAAAAGGGAAAGTCAATGAATAGCTTCAAGTCCATGCACTTAGTGACCTATTTCCTCAGACAGATCCTCCCTAACATGTCCAGACCCTCTCATGGCAGTTCCACCAGCTTGAGAACATCTGTTCAGTTCATGAATCCATGAGGGGCACATTTTATATTCAAACTAAAACAAAGACCTAACAGTGTGTTGTCGATATTTGAACATGGGATGAGGTCACCTGGGGTGTGAGTGTAAAGGCAAATAAGACTCCGATCTGAATTCTGGTGAATTTTGATGAACCAAGGTTAGCAATGGAGAAAGATCTTGAGTGTGAGACAGAAGGGTCCCCGGGTGGCAGGCAGTGGACTAGAGGAAAGTCACCACCAGGAAGACAAGGCAAAGAAGTGTTTGTTGGCAACGAGCCCTCGGGAGAATAAAGTCTCCCCGTGGCTGGGAACTGCTCTTGCAGATTGCTGTTTCTGGGGCTCTCTACTCTTAGCACTCTGTCAATGTTTGTAGGACTGAACTTTCTTTCCCAGCATGCTCTTTCCCTAAAGTAGCACCCATTCCAGGATAATCTTTCCTTGTCTCGGGTTTTTCTCTTTGGATTGTCACTGATGACATGGCTCTGAGTAGGTGGAGAGCTTTGACCACCTTCCTAGCTTTGCTTCGCATTCCTGGAAGAGTGCCAAGGAGGGGATAAAACTGTGGCAAGTGTCAGGTTGCTCCCATGGAACTGCATGGAAAGGTGACACTCTGTTCTCATGAGGCTGTGAATGTGGGCAATCTGGTGGGAAAACAATTGTTTGAGTTTGTGTAGCATAAGCATTTGAAAACAGAAAGTAATACACAAGGACTGAATTATTTCTGCTCTGTTTTTAGGCATTGTTTGTCACAAATATGAACCCCATCACCACAGCAAATGCTGAATTTTGCCTTGATGTATTCAAAGAGCTGAGTAGTAGCAATGTGGGAGAAAACATCTTCTTTTCTCCACTCTCTATGTTCTATGCTCTAAGCATGCTCCTTCTGGGTGCCAGAGGCAAGAGTGCTGAGCAAATGGAAAAGGTAAGAACTGGAGGAGAACATCCCCAGAACCCAGATATCTTTTATGTGCCACCTCTAGTCTGCCAAATTTCAGCTATTTTTCATTAAAAAAATATCATCTTGTGTAATGAAAAGGCATACTTAGGTAAGACATGTTTCTTAGAAAGGCAAAAAGTTTTAAGTAATAGAGTTTGATGCAAGTCAATACAACATATAACTCCTTTTATATCAACTATATTTTGCAGTAACTTTTATTTTAGTGATTTGAATATAATAGAGACACATGTTTGGTATTATTCTTTCCATCTAAAAATTTTAAACCCAAACCCTCACAATATTTTAAATAAATTTTAAAAAAGAATTTATTACTAAATTTCTTCAGGACAATCCTGTTAGCAGACAGAGATTGTTATCCTCATTTTACAACCAGGAAAACAGAGGAATGGTGATCTGTCACATGACACCGGTCACCAGGGTCTTTCCAATCTATGTATTTTTATTACTGAGAATGTTTAGAAAAATATCTCTTTATAATTCTTAGGATAGTTGCTTATCTTACTTTACTGAGAAACTGTCATGTTTCTAGGGCTCCCAATGGCCAATGCTCTAGATAAAGGCCTGAAGAGTAGGAAAAAAAGGCAGAGTGGCCTGAAATAATAACACTCATCTCCTAGAACCTGATTAACTATGGTCTGGGGCAAGGGTGCTTATCCTTTTTGATCTCTGTTCTCCTAACATAAAATGGAGGTGATAGTATTTACTCATGGAGTTGTTGGGAGGGTTAGATAGAAACTCAATGAATTAACTCAGGACTTGGAACATACGTTATCAGATGTTGATCTGAAATGAAGAATGAATACAGTTCTCAGATTTTATAGATTGTGTATCACTTTCATGGCCAGTTGATCTCTCTTCTTTTCCTAGGTGCTCCACTATGACAACTTTTCAGAATTCTTAAAACCAAAGATGACAGACTCTTCTGAGGTATGAGGATATCACTGCTGAGATATCAAGTACTCTTAGCATTACACATCAGGAAATCCTATTTCATGAGTAGAGTAGTGGAGTCCTCTCTTGGGTCCATAGGAAAGGCAGCTCTGAGCCAGCAGTGGTGGCTCACACCTTTAATCCCAGCACTTGGGAGGCAGAGGCAGGCAGATCTCTGTGAGTTCGAGGCCAGCCTGGTCTACAGATCGAGATCCAGGACAGCCAGGGCTACACAGAGAAACCCTGTCTTGAAAAAAAAAAAGAAAAAGAAAAAGAAAAAGAAAAGGACAGAGAAAGTCAGCTCTGTCTGGACTCCTCTGACAATCTTTCCAATTACCACAGCAGAGTATTGAGTTTAGCACATGGTAGTAATGATAACAATAATGCCAAAGCCTCTCCATCCAAATTTTTTAACTGATTATTGTCATCTTCACTCAGACTTTTCTGTTCTGTGCCTGTGTCTGCTGTTGACTCTGCCAGATTCATCCACACATATAGTTTTGTTGACTCACTAAGAGTTTCTGAGAAATGGTTGCCATTTAATTACATACTGTCCCTGATGTGACCCCATCTATATTCTCTGAGACAATAGTTTTTTATTCTTAAAGAAGTATTCATTCATTTACTTAGAATTCTCGCATGGTGCTTGGGTATATGGATAAATGTACACACATACCAGGTTTTTTCTTTTAGGCCACCAACCAGCACCCAAATCATAACATGGAGACTTAATATTAGTTATGAATGCTCAGTCTAGCTTAGACTCATTTCTTGCTAGCTCTTATAACTTAACTTGTTTCTCTTCATCTACGTTTTGCCTTTTTTTAACCTCACTTTCTGTATGTCCTACTCAGTGTCTGCTGGCTGGTGGCTGCCTGGCTGTGCCTGGACGTCTTCCTCTCTTTCTCCCTCATTCTCTCCTCTCTTCTTCTCTTTCATTCTTCTCAAGCCTAGATTTCTCCTACTAGTTATTCTCTCTGCCTGCCAACCCCTCTTCTGCCTAGCTGTTGGCCATTCATCTTTTATTAGACTATTCAGGTGCTTTTGGCAGGCAAGGTGAAACAAATGCAACACATCTTTACACAATTAAGCAAGCGCAGCAGAAACAAGTGTAACACTCCTTTACACAGTTAAAGTAATACTCCACAGCAGAAACAAATGTAACACATCTTTACATAGTTAAATATTCTAACACACACACACACACACACACACACACACACACACACACACACACACACAAAATTGAAACCTCAGAAACCCTACTTATTAGGAACCGTTGTTTAGAAAATGTAGGCGTTGCCTCTTTGGTATCAATGAATTCTTAATTATAATTCACATGTATCACAGTTGCAAACTTAGCAGAATTGCTACTGCACAAAATCGAGTGAATGTGTTAGATCTTGTTAGTGAAGGTTGAAGAATGAAGACATTAGTAGGGTGTGTTGGTTTATGTTTGTAATCTCAACACATACGAGGCAGGAGGATTGTTGGCAAGTTCAAAGCCAGACTGGTGTACATAATAAATTCAAGCCAGGACTACTTACTAAGACCATATCCATTGGTTGGGAAGAAAGAGTCAATAAGAATCTAAGGGGGTAAGAGATGGCAACGAAGAAGAGATCACAATGAAAAAATAGCATACAAGCAACAAGCTGTCAAAAAAAGAAAAGAAAAGAAAAAAGAAAGAATAAAAGACCACACATTGAAAATAAAAATATGAATACAAAGGCAGCTGCAGAACTTGCATTAGAACCTCTTTGTTCATAAAAACCTAAGCTTTGAATTAAACTATTAGGACCAACAAGTAAGTACATGTGAATCTGTGTACAGTCTGTTGAGATCAAATGCTGAAGGAAATCAAGGAAGGTGCTTGGATGGTTCATCTCTTGGCGTTCACTGCTGCTTGCTGGAAGGCAAGCGTCTTGATCTGCAGATACTGTTTCTTTACTTTTGTTTAACTCCTCAGTGGCAAGAAACCAATTGCTTTTCTTTTTTGTTCACCTGTCAGTGCAGCCATGGCGGAAGGATGCATTCTAAGTTTGGAGCCCTGCTATCCCAAATCAACCAACCAAATTCCCTCAGCATTGCCAATAGAATCTATGGGACGAAGGCGATAACATTCCACAAGGTAAGCATGCCTGGAGCCTCTGAATTTCATAATACAAAGTTGAGGGAGAGTGAGGAGAGCTTATGGTATTCTTTACAATGTTGAATTTGAGCTTAGCGTTTCTGAGAAATGGCTTTATCAAAATTCCCACTTTGAGTTCTGCAATATCACATGAAAATTGCTTTCTCTGAAAAATCCCTAAAGCTGTGCAAGATCTAAAGTCAGAGATGAAACACAAAATGAAAGTCATTTATAAGAATTGCCCTTTATGGAGGAGAAAAGTGAAACCCATTTCTCATCTTTTACAAAGTCCCTTGACAATAGACTATCAAGAGGTAGTTGCAAGTATATTCCACTAGGAACCAAGAGATGTGAGTTTTCTTTCCATTTATACATATGACTTTGAGCAACTCACTTCTGTCTTTAAAATAAGAGGCTTAGAATATTTTTGTCTAGCTCCAAAATTGGAGATGTGTTTCAGTCCTTACTCACCAACATTGTAGTGTGTATTTTCACTAAAAGTTTACTTGATCCCCTGTGCCTGTCACTCATGAACTCATCACAGCCATTGTTTCATACAGTCATTTCATTGTGCTATGAAAAAGGTACAAATTTTCCACAAATTCTAGAGTCTCTAAAACAGATTCTGAAAATTTCAATTGACAAAGGTCACAGAGATAATTATCAAGAATTAGATTTAATCCTTATCTAAACTCAAGGCTTCTTCCTTCCATGACGGACATGAAACCCTGGTGTCCTTGGTCCATCTTCATCTAACCAGGATTACTGAGGCATTGAGAGGAAGCCTCAAACACTTGTTTGTCTTCTCAGTCTGGTGGCTTAAGCTGTGTTAGATGTCACATATCACTGATAGAACTTCTGTGTCCGAGGTGGGTGGGCCACTTTGGCACTGCAGACTCCTCCTTCGACTGTCACAGAGGCTCACAAAAATGTGCTATGTTGAGTGTCTGATGTGATGAAGTCAAGGATCATCTCCTTTGAGCTGGTGTACTTTGCTTCTCCCAAACAGCGACCCAGACAAGACAGGAGATATATGTTGTTTTGGGGGGGGGGTTTGAATTTGTTCCTGGGGTAAGGAGTTATTTAGCCACTATGCTTACCGATTTTCCTCTAACACTCTTGTTTCTTAAACTTTGAGGAGGAAAAACATAGGGACAGACAAAAAAGCTACTCAGTGTATGAAATTCATCATTTTGATTTGAATGTGTTGGTATAAGAAAGTCTATGACATAATGGGAAAACGTCCAAATGTTTCTGGATATTTTTCATTTTTGGAAAATCTTTGGATTTAAAGACAAGTACTCATGGACATTCTTCCTTTTAAGCTTGTTACATCAACAGATGTTTGTCTCTGTGCTAGGATTTTAGAACATTCTGTGCTATAATGTTCTTCCGTGTGTGTGTGTGTGTGTGTGTGTGTGTGTGTGTGTGTGTATGTATGTATTTTCTTTAAACTATTTTTTATGGTTTATGTATGTGCATGCATACGTGTGTGTGCTTGCGTGTTTGTGTGTGTGTGTGTGTGTGCTGCTGTGTGTCACTGTATGAGTCAGTACCTGAGCCAGTGTGTGTATGTGGAAGTCAGAGGAAAGCTTTGGTGTCAGTTCTCTCTTTTCACCTTTTGTAAAACAGGGTCTCTTCCTTGTTCACCAATGTTTATGCTGGGCCATCCAGGCCCTAGCTGTGGGGGTTCACCTATCTGTTCTCTATCTTCTTGAAGGGGAACTAGAGTCAAGTGCATGCCACCTGGCTTTCATGCAGGTCTGGGGAGCAAGCTCAGCTCTTCACACTTGCATAGCACACACTTTACTCACTGGCCATGTCCCAGACCCCTCTTTGTACTATTTTTGTGTTGTCTTTCAATTGACTTTTTTTTTAACAGCAATATCTAAGATGTTCTGAGAAACTGTTCCAAGCCAAGCTGCAAACTGTTGATTTTGAACTGTCTACAGAAGAGACAAGGAAAAGTATTAATGCTTGGGTTGAAAATAAAACTAATGGTAAGGATAACTCGTGTGTGTGTGTGTGTGTGTGTGTGTGTGTGTGTGTGTGTGTGTGTGTGTAAGCATACATGTATCTGTATGTGTATAAACTTTGGTAAAAATCTTACTTTGCTTTGCTAACAAGGAAGCTGAAGTTACCTAGTGTGAAGTCTACATGCGGGTAAATAGATAACAATGAAAGACCTGGGTTCTCTTGATGGAACAGCAGGCTTGTGTGCTAAGTATTTTTACCTGCTAAGGCAGTCCTCAACCTTCCTAATGCCGTGACCCTTTAACACAGTTCCACATGTGTGGTGACCCCCAACCATTAAATTATTTTGTTGCTACTTCATAATTGTAATTTTGCTACTGTAATAAATCGAAATGTAAGTATCTGACATGCATGATATCTCTGATACACAAGCCCCGAAGGAGCTGAGACCCACAGGTTGAAAACTGCTGTGCTGAGCCATCCTGTTCACCTAGGGAGGGGATCATTTAAAGATAAGCTACAGAAGTTAGTAAAGAGTTTTCTAAAACAATAATAGACAATAATTTGTTAGAAATGAGTAGGTATAGAACAGATTGAGTCACCCCTAAGGCATTACTTCCTAGACCAGAAGTACCTGTGACAGGGAAAGACTCTATGTCCAGAAACACGAGTTCTTCTGGGACCTCAAATGTAAAATTACTGTCTGAAAAAACACTATGCAAATGTCTATTAGCAACAAGTTAATCCAAATAAAATTACCTCTTCTTTTGTTCGTTTTACTACAAGGAAAAGTCACAAACCTATTTGGAAAGGGTACAATTGACCCCTCCTCTGTCATGGTCCTAGTGAGTGCCATATATTTCAAGGGACAATGGAAAAATAAGTTTGAGAAAAGAGAGACTGTGAAGGCTCCCTTTCATATAAGTGTGGTGAGTATTTCATTCTCAGACCAATGACAAGTCTTAAAATGAAATAATAATTTAAGGACAATTCAGAAATATTTCATGAAAACATTTCTGTAGGTTGCTGAAAGCTTTTAGTTTTAAAGATTGCATTAACTTCTCTCACTGGACGTGAGACTGGACAGAGGCTCCCTGAAAGAATGGAGACCTCTTCTCTTCCTCCCGTTCTGCCCTTGTAGTCTTGATATTCACACCGTGGCTACTTCCTGTGACTGTTAATCAACTCTGCTTTTGTCCTGGACAGTATCCACATGGCTTAGAAGAGATAGTGAGCCTCTCGTTTGATTTCTAGTATAAGTCATTTTAGCTGGAGACTCTGGTGTCGTAATTAAAGACCGAAATCATCTCTATATTATTATACTTCCACAGTCTCTAACTTTGACATATTGTATGATTACAAAATTGATAACTCATGGCAAAGGAAAGCAATAAAAGAGTATAGTCAATGGTTTATAATTTACAGTGCTAACATGGGTATCTGCATTATAAAAATAAAGTACACATACATATGCACTGCGACTGTACAATTTAATCATAATCTTTTTAACCATAGGGTAAAAGTGCAGTTGTGGACATGATGTTCCAGACTGGAATGTTTAAACTGGCCTTCATAAGGGAGCCACAGATGCAAGTCCTTGAGCTTCCCTATGCCAACAACAAGCTAAAAATGATCATCCTGCTTCCAGGGGGCACAGCCAATGTAAACCAGGTAAAAGCTCAACAATGCCATCTTGCAATGAATGTGTGAGTGTGTGTGTGTGTGTGTATGTGTGTGTGTGTGTGTGTGTGTGTGTGTGTGTGTGTGTGTATGTGTGTGTGTGTACCCACACTCTTTCACATATACTCTGTGTGCCATGTGGTTTCTGTATGTCAGTCATGGACTCACAACTAGACTTAGTGGTCTTTTCCCAGGAGCTGTAGATTAAGGATGATTCCTGCCCTTTAGGAATATATATTCAGGCAGACAAGCACTTCATTCATTGAAAAAGTTATGTAGGTTCACTATGTTACACAATATAAATGCACGCACATATTCCTCAGGAGACACTTAGTGGACATCTTTCTATAATAATCATGCTAATCAGATTCATGTCATGCCAATCAGATTCCTGGATCCTAGAGATCTGCTGAAGCCTTGCTGGGGGAAAGTTTTAACCAGAGGATACACTCACAGTCATGTGCAAAACCAAAAGATATGAATTAGAATGAGGCTCTGAGGGTGGTATTCCTAGAGAATTATCTCCATGTGAGCTTTACTAAATGTATAGAAGATAGACAGGTGAAGTGAGGAGACCCTCCTGATCTGGGAAGAGTAAAGAACACGTGTAAGTGTGCTAAGTATGAGGCAGCTGAGATCTGCTGGTTTTTGTCATAAGGTAACAGATTAGAGCTAGCAAATGAAAATGATAAAAGGAAACTTTGAAAGAATATCTACCTTAATCTTAAAATTTTGTATTATGAGAATGGGAAGGTAATGACAGTTTTAAACTTTGGGACAAGTTAACAATAAAAATGACACAGTATATAGTGTCTATGTACTGGTGCTATAGAGGGTTGGCTATAGGGCATTAAATACCCAAGATTAGCATTTAAATGACAATCAAAATGATGAAGATTGATTTTATGATGAGAAGTCAATTGCTGGGACCATTTGGGAAACCTAAGTACATATGTGGGAATTGAAATGCCCGTCAGAAAGAAGCACAAAGGCATTAGGCAAGCATGTACCGTGTTGAGCTTCAGAAGAAACATCAGAGAGAGTAAAGGTCATCAGAGAGATTGGAGCCATTAAGGGTAGGACAAAGGGATCTGGCATCTTAGAAGCCAAATGAGAACTAAGGTCATAAAGATGTTACTCAAAGTTTCAGGTAAAGGCCAAGAAGAAATGGCTGGATTGATTCAGGAAGCAGGCACAAAATGATGGCTAAAGCAATAAGCAGAGAAGTTTAGGTAAAGGCTAAATGCTGAGGGAATTCAAGAGTGTACACGGAAAAAGTCAGTGAGGGAACATAGAGGAGAAGCAGGGAACAGAAAGGGAAATTAAGGCTAAATGAATAGAAAGGTAGCGCATGAGCACTGAAGGTTAAAGCCAACATGAAGCTGAGCCATTCACAGCGGGAATCACGGAAACATGTTTCACTCAGAAGCTGTGTATTCGGCTCATGTGTACGCATCTGTATTTTGACTCTTAGATAGAAAAACACCTGAATGTGAAGATGCTTCAAGAGTGGACCAACTCTTCTAACATGGTGGAAAGAGAAGTGGATGTTCACATCCCCAAATTCAATCTCGCAGTGAAATATGACCTAAACTCGCTCTTGAAATCCCTAGGGATGAGGGACATCTTCAGCGTGGGCAAAGCTGATCTCTCTGGGATGTCGCCAGACAAAGGCCTATATTTATCCACGGTCGTTCACAAGTCCTATGTGGATGTCAATGAAGAAGGCACCGAGGCAGCAGCGGCCACTGGGGAGAGTGTGGCTGTGAAACGACTTCCTGTCACAGTTCAGTTCACAGCAAATTGTCCCTTCCTCTTCACTATCCAGGATGAGTCTGACAATATTTTATTTGCTGGCAAGTTTGCCTCTCCATAGACAGAAGTCATTGTGGAGGCTTCAGAGATAGATAAAGGAGTACAGGGGCAAAGGGGCCAAAAATTTGCATCTCAGCTTTTGTGCATCTGCAAACCAGGTCTACCAGATGGTAGATCTTCAGCCTGATCCTGTGAGCTAGTGAACCTCACACTAGAGAAGTTCTGTAAAAAGATACATTTAGCCCAGTGCTTTTCTGGATTTCTTATTTTTGAGACCTCATTTGAGTACTGAGTGACAAGATTGAGCTAGCAGAGAAGTTTATAAAGAGCTGAATGTTTTTGGGTTTTCTATGTTAGAGAGATTGTGAGTGAGTGAACAGTACAAATCAGACCAAGGGTTTCTACTTTAGCTTGACTTTTAAATATAAGTTTCCTGCATGCCTAAATATAGTAGTAAGAACTTTAGCTCAAAATTCTATATTGATCATAATAAATGGACACAATGCTTTAAGTTCTTTGAAGATGGAGTGCACTATATCAGTTAATTAACTGGGGGAAGGAGCTTTCTTATTCAGGAAACTTTTCCCACCCTTTCTTTTTCTTAAAAAATTCTTTGACAGTTTACATGTACGTTATAAATTTTGGTCATTTTTGACCCCCCCTCACTACTATCCTTAATGCCCCTGTCTTTTCCATGGAAACCTTTTTTCTTCTCCACAATTCCTCTTCCTCCACTGATCTCTATTTTGTGACCCACTGAGTTTAAATGAGGGTTGCTTGCATGAATAAGTGTTGGTGAGAGGTTGTTCAGTGGAGCACGGGTAACTTATTAGTGGTTACACTACTGAAGAAAGCGGCACCTATTCCTGGTCTCTATTAGTTATCAATACAGTTCCTCGGGAAGGTAGTCTTCTGAGCCCCTTCCCCATTCGTGATGAAGTGTTGATGTGCTGATGGGCCTGACTTTGTGCATATCTTCTGCAAGGACCCAAGCTGCAGAGACCTCATGAGGGCAATGGCCGTGTCATGCCCAGGAGACATGTTGAGAGCACTCCTCCTCATGCTCCTACTTTGAACTCTCTCTGCCCCCCTCTTCCCAGTGCTTCCTGATCCTTGGAAGGTTATGATGCAGATGTCCTGTTTGGGGCTGAGCACTCACAGCCGCTTATGCTAAGCGCGACTGTTTCCGGCCAAATCTTTTATTGGTTAAAATATATAATGCATTTCGTATGCTTTAAAAATCAGCAATTCAGTAAATATAATTCTCGGAAGAACAAAAGATAGCTATCAGTTGGATGATTTTATCTTACAGAAAGCTTTTGGATTTTCCACCAAAGATAACACAGAGCAGTAACCAGATGATAGACATCACAATACGATGGTATGACATGTAAACGTGTGAAATATAGTCATGTGTGTATGCTCTGTGACTCTTCCTGAGGAGGCTGGGACACATCTATCTGTTCACACCAGATAAGGCACTGATGGCAGAGCAAGGGAGCAATTCTACCCACGTCTAGTTTAGAGAACCACTGAGTTTGCTAGGGTTACTTATATGGGAGGAAGGCTGCTTTCATGAGCATGAGTTACTCAAAGGCAGCTACATCACGGAAAAGCCCACCTCAGGATGGGTGACAGCTCATGAACACTATACCCTGAACCTCTTTGGATGACACTGAGGCAGCTTGGCTAGTCAGAAAGCCTCTTTCTTCAGCAATTGTTAATGATTATGTAACCATAGACAGAGGCCTTGTGAATCTTGTAAATTTCAGGAGCTATGAAAAACTTGTGTTCATTTATTTCCTGAGTCTTAATGATCTTCCCTCCCTCAGAGAACATTTCAGTTCATATGAAATAGATATGCAACACTACAGAAAAATAAAGATACTTCTTGTCTTTTTATGGTAAACAAACTGAAGAAAACTAAAATGTGAAGAGGTCATAACAGTCCAGGAAAGACCATGTCCTAAAATCTGTCCCTGGCTGTACGGGAGCCCGGACTGACGTCACCACACAAGCCTGTGTTATGGTTTGGGTGTTTCAGCTGCCAAAGGCTCTTTACAGGAAGGCTTGGTTAACAGCTGACAGCACTATGGTGCTCTTAGAGAGTAGAGAAATATTTAGGAAGAGGGTCTCCCAGAAGAACGCAGGATAGTGGCATCATGCTCTCAAAGAAGACGTTGGGACCCAGAGCCTCTGCTTCTTTGTCTCCTTTCGCCTTTTCCTCCTCTTTCCCTCTTTCTCCCCCGTCTCTCTGGCTCTGTCTCTGCCTCCCTCTCGGCACCACCAGGTGAACGGCCTTTTCTGCTAGATATTCCGTGCCATGAAGTTCTCGCCACAGATCCAAAGGCAGCAAAGTAAGCAGCCAGGGATTGATACTTCTAATACCATGAGACAAAATAAATACTCACTCCTGTAAAGTTAATTTTCTTAGGTATTTTATTGTGGTGACAGAAAGTCAACCAAAGCAACAAGGAGACCTGGATGTGATAATAGCAGAGCCTCATAGCACTGACCTGGTTCTCTCCAATAGTTTATTAGCACGTGATCTCTTGAAGGTATAGGAAAGAAGTTAAAAGTCATCATCTTGAGTTAAAGCTGAAGATAATTCTCATAGGTACACTTCAGAAATACTGGTGTAGATACCAGGCAATGATGTGGGACTTGGAAGACTGTGATTAAGCCTATTCTGGAAACTGAGGTGAGAGGGACATGGAATGGAGAGTGGCATATCAATACTGGACTCTTTTAGTAGACCTTTATAGTATTTGGGTAGGAGCTTGTATATTAACTATTAGTCTAGGTCATCCTAGACTAATACACAAAACCACTAGGGTGTGCTCTAGAGAATCCTGAATTAATGATCACACAAACTTTTCTCCCTCCCTTCTTCCCTCCCTCCCTCCCTCACCACAATATATCCACATTTATATATATATATATATATATATACATATATATATATATATATAATACATATATATATCATATGTATATCTATATAGATTATATATGATAGATACAAATGATATACTCTGAGAGAGAGAGACAGAGAGAGGAAGTGACTCATGCTATCTTTTAGCTTTAGAATGGGAATAGAATTTCCTTTGTTAGGGGATATCAGTCTATTTTCCCTTAAGGCCTTCAACTGATTGCATGTCTACCCATTCTATGAAAGATAATCTGCTTTACTCAAAGTGTATGATCCAAATGCTAATCTTAGGTTAACAATGCCATCACAGCAACATCTTAGCTGGTGTCTGGCCAAATCACTGGGTTCTGAGGCCCAAGGCAAGTAGACTCACAAAATTAAAATCATTGGGATTGGAGAGATGGCTCAGCAGTTAAGATCACTTGCTATTCTTCCAGAGGTCATGAGTTCAGTTCCTAGCACCCAAGCTGGGTAGTCCACAGAATGGGAGAGAATCTTTGTCAGCTATACATCTGACAGATGATTAATATCCAGAGTGTATAAAGAAGTGAAAACCAAAGAGTTAAGAAAACAAAAACATAATTAAAACTGGGCTATGGATCTGAAAAAAGAATTCCAAGTAGAAGATATAAAAAGGCTGAGAAATAATGTAAAGTGCTTATCATCCTTATCAACCAGGGAAATGAAAATTAAAATAACTCTGAGTTTTCACCTTACCCCAGTCAGAATGGCTAAGACCAACAAAATAACTGACAACAAATCCTGGTGAGAATGTGGAGAAAGACACACCCTTATTTACTGTTGGTGGGATTGCAAGCTGGTTCAGCACTCAGGAAATCAGTGTGGGAAATTCACAAAAAATTAAATATGAATTTATCACATGACCCGGATATACCATTTCTTGGCATTTGCACAAGAAACTGATGTCTTGCCCCACAGATATGTGCTAAGTCATGCTCATAACCATTGTATTCGAAATAGCTAGAAAGTGGAAACACCCTAAATATTCTTCATCTGACAAATGGGCAATGAAAATGAGGATCATAGCTTCAGTGAGTCCATGAGCGAAACAGCTGCGGCCCACGTCCCATTCAGGAAACAACATTTTGCAGTGCTCACAGCCATCCTCTGGTTCCTACATTCTTCCTGGACCCTCTTTTGTGATGTTCCTTGAGACCTGAGGATGTTAATATAGATGTTCCATTTGGGGAACAGCACCCGACATGACTGATTCTCAGCACTTTCACCAATTCTGAGTCTCTACATTAACATATACTGCATTAAGAGGCTTCCCTGGCCAAGGTCAAGAACAGCATTAACTTGTGGATGCCAATATAAATATTTAGAAGAGAGATTGATGAAGCTATAGTTACCTGCGTAAGATGAAGCAATAAGATCAGTTAACATTTTGGAAGGCAGTATTAACTGACCCCGTGAAGGAGATGGTGGGGGCGGGGGCAAGTGTGATAGTGGGAAGGAAACCTTTCGGGAGTCTAGGGAGAGTGGAATTTCAGGGTGTATGTGATCAAAACCCATTGTATACATTTTGAAACTGTCAAACAATAAATAAAAGATATTATTAATATAAAAAATGTGGATCGTATATAGATAGTGGAGCATTATTCAGCTATAAAGAAAGAGGAAATCATGTAGTTTGCCAGTTAATGGGTAGAACTAGAAAGTATATTGACTGAGGTAATACAGACCCCGAAAAACAAACTCCACATCTTTGCTCTCATCTGTGGTTCCTAGCTCCAAATATTTGGATGTTAGTATCTACCCTGGAGTAACTGCAAAAACCAGGAAAGTAAAAAGGGACTGTGGATTAGGGGGAGAAGTGTTGAGAAGAGAATAATAGGATTCAGGTGATACAAAGTGAAAACTGAGAAAAATCAGTGAGGGGAGAGGGATGTCAACACAGAGTTTGTTGGAGGGAGGAGGGATATATAGCATTAAAGGTGCTTGAAAAAGCCATAGGGAATTATATTATTTTATATTTAGCTCAAATTACATATAATACGCACACACGCACACACGCACACACACACACACACACACACACACACACACACACACACACACACACATGTGTAGATACTTTAAATGAAGTTATACCACTTGGGGTGATG